GACCCACCCAAATAATCCCAAGTGATCTTCCCATCTCAAGATCCTTAAGTCTCTTCTGCCATGGAGATTATCATAATCACAGGATCTGGGGATTAGGACGTGGATATCTTTGGAGCCATCCTGCTATCTCTTGCAGGGTCTGTGTCTGCAGAGTATATTACCCCTACTCAGCTTGTTTCTCTTGGCATAGGTTTCCTTGTCATTGGAACAACTAAAATAAACTCGGTCCCTAAGAAATCCTTCTGGCACTAAAACACACTATATAAATGCATTTGTAAAATTACTGCTTATTACTCTGTGAGGCTGAGGCAGAAGAATTATAACTTTGACCCAGCCTGGGCAATTTATCAATTTGGTGAGACCCCGTCTCAAAATTTAAAAATAAAGAGGGGGTGTAGCTCAAGGTAAAGGTCTTGGGTTCAATCCCCAGTCTTGATCTGTGTATTGCAAGGGAGAAAAAGGATCTACCAAGGCGACACTAAAATTTTGAGTTAAGATATGTTGGCTGGAGAAGGACAGAAAATGATGAACTTAGGGTAATTCTGGTACATTGAAACAAAGTGTCTAGTAGTGTATTTGGTATAAAGAAATAGAGCTAAGATACCAGCTAACAGAAAGTCACCCACATAGAAGAGCTAATTACTATAGTCTGTAAGAAGTTATAAATTCTGTAATGAATAAGTGAAAGAAAATGCATTTTTGCAGACTGACTTGAATTTCGGAGGAAGAAAAGTTCACAAATGAAACTTGCTTGATCAGAGGAAGATGGAATCATCTTAAATATGTTGACCAAATTGTTTATTTTAAAATCACTCACAAGAAAACCCTTTCTAAAGTGGATAAGTGCCTTAATTATTTCCTATTTACAAGTCTGACTTTAATTAATGTAAGGCAAGTCATTAATGTAAGGCATGTATTGGTTCACACTGTAGAATTTCTTTTTAAAAAGTTATTTCATACAATTAACTGATCTATTTAGAGTCCTGAAGCTTAATTTTATTTTTTTTCCTGAAGCTTAATTTGAAAATACAGCTACATGTTTGCTGAAACAAGATAATTTAGCTACAACTGTGGTTTTTAAAAGTCCTCAAGTAGTTGGCAAAATCAAATGATTTGTTTTCAGTATTCCTCTATAACCTGGTCAAATTATAACAGCATTGATAGGTATAATTTCCATTAAACATGTTTCACAAAAAGTATATAAGACAAACTCTTCCATATAAATCTCTGAAATATTTCTTTGCAAATTATCCTTCAGTGTACAGTATTACACATGTTGTCCAATTTAGTTTCACATGTTTCTTACTAATGGTTACTCAAGTTACCTATTATTTACCAACAATGATACAATTGCAGGATTTGCTTTATACAGATACATCATTTGTTCAAAATAAATACACAAACTGAGAAATCATCTTTATTTGCAAGGTTAGAAATCCATGTAAAATTTTTCTTCTTTTGGTTAGGGTTTTAAGCCAATAACCTAGAAGTTACAAAGTATTACAGAACAAGTATGACACAAATATAACTTACAAACTGACCACCCCTATGGTCCCAGCTAAAGAGGCTGAGGCCAGAAGATTGCTCAAACCTAGGAATTCAAGTTCAGTATGGGTAACACTGTGAGATCCCCATCTCACAAAGACAAAAATGAAGTCATTTTGAAGACTGCAGAAATCCCCTAGAAACTGCTGTTGCCTCTTCGAAGATGTCACATTTGCCTTGTAATTTAGCCCAGTGTTCTCAAGTCTAATTCCCCCAGGATTCCAGTAGAGGTTATGTGTTTAGTACAATGTCAGCAGAAGCCATGCTTGTCAGCCGACCCTTTCAAAACCCTTCCATCCACTGCTTTAGACTTTTGGATGATCACAGAGGTCTAATAACTGACGTTTGAGTTTGGTAAAGAACAGACCTTTTGGAGAGAAGAGAGGCAGCCAAGCTATTCACTCAAACAACATACTGCAATTTTTCTGAGATGCACAAAAAGTTAGCACATCATTTCAAAACACCTTACTTTAGATAACAGCAACAAAATAAAGATCATACAACAGAATTCTAAGCATGAAGTCCTTCACCTAGCACTGGCCTTTTTTTCTGGCACATAAACAGAATGTTAGGCTTCAAAAATTCATCCCTACAAAGTACATCTGCACAGCCTACTGCTCTTCCAGGACAGCGAGCCCCCTTTGATCCAGCTGCCTCATGCAGTTTGGTAAGTGGCACAAAAAGCCAGTTAGTCAATAGTTTTGAATACTACTGCTCATCTAAAATTCTCATAAAAAGTTAGATACTAAGTACTTCAGAGAAACAGGTCATAAAAACACCCCCACCTCCTCTGGCACTAGTTCTTGCTTCAGACCAATGACATGAAACATGACCAACTGTTATGCTGCAAATCACTTTGCCAAATCAGAGCAGCTACAATAAAAGAATCTGAAGCCAACCTTACATTTTATCTTGTATAGATAAACAGTAAAATATTCCAAGAAATCTTGCAGATGTTAGTTTTCCCAGATGGTATAATATAGATTCATTTCACAAAGAAGGGACCATCGAATCCCACAAATTTAGGTGGAACACTAGAGTGTATGATTTCTGAATGCCTGAGGTCTCTAGTTTTTCCTCAGTTATTTCCAAATGCTGTTAGTGTACAATGTGTGTGTAATGTCTGTCCAAAAGTATGTCTCTTCCACAATAAAACTAAAACTCTTAAAAAATTAGGGTTTGGATGAAGTAAACATTGAATTTTTCTTATTTATTTATTTTTATTTCATTTTTTGTAGCACTGAGGATTAAACTCAGGGCCTCTGCCCTGATCTACATGCCTACTCTTTTAATCTTTTTTTTTTTTGAGATTTCTTGTTAAGTCACTAGGTTGCCCACACTGAGCTCAAACTTGAGATTCTCCTGCTTCACCCTTCCAGAGTTCCGAGACTGCAGATGCATGCCATCACACCCAGCTTGAACTTTTCTTCTTAAAAATGTATGCAATATTCACAACTTCACATTACATTATGGTATATGTATTATCACCCATTCAGCACTATCTGAGCCCCAACTACGTGCAAAGAAAATGGACAATCTGCTGTGGAAAATGTGACATAAAACCAAGTACAGTATTTGACTCCTTGGTATAAAAATAGATCACAGAAAAGATACAAATTAAAAAACTAGAAGACAGTGACAAGTCAAGATGCTTTGCCAAGCTCACTAGGCTAAAGACAACCTTGAATGTCAACAGAGAAATTATTTCCTCAGCAACAAAAGTAGCTGAAAACACTAACGCCAGGTAGTTAAGACCCAGACTTTGGATTCAGCCCCCGGGTTTAACACCTTAAAAGCCATCCTCGGTCTAAATGACAAACCAAGTATGCAATCCAAGGGGAGCAATATTCCACCATACTTGCTTTTCCATCCAAGTCATATTACATACTAAAATACTCCTAGCTATAACATAAATATGCTCACAGGTTAATCATTTCACTACCGTTTTACTGGCTATTCAATTTGGGGGGCTTTAGCAGCAACAGCTCAATTAAATCTAATCTTTGATCTCATAGGTTTTCTTACGATTTTGTCTCTAAATTGAGGTCATGCCTTTCTCTATTTTATAAGTGCATCTACTAGGTGTTCCTCTATATTGCTATTCCAAGTGCAACACAAAAAATTCAATCTGCTCTTTGAAAATAATGGCCTCACTGAGACACAAATATCATATTCATTAAAAACATTCAAAAGCAGTAGGGTAAACACTAAGGCCGCTACAATTCAACCCTGATGATCTAATGTCATAGACATCTATTTCCTACGTAAGGAGACATATGGGTCTTTTTGTACCTTGTCAACAACTCATTTCCATACATATACCTTATTAAATGTACACACAATCCATGTCGGTCATATAGACCTATAGAAGCCATGCTTCTACACAATTCACCAAGTGTTGGTTATGAGAACCTTTCCTTAACATGTAGATAATAAAATAAACTCAGATTGTCGCCAGAGCCTCCTCTTCCTGTCACAACATCGGTGTGGCTGTCCAGGAGTCTCTGATCCCTGGAACTGGTCAGTAGGTGAAAAACCTAAGGCAGGATCCCAGTAGGAGGCTGCGGATGGCGCGCTCCTCCTCCATTCATTGTGTGGGGTCAACTTTGCAGGACGCACACCTTCCTGCCAGGAATCCGGGGTGCACGTGGCTGCAGGGGGCGGCCTCTGGGCTGACCCGCCCGCTAGGCCCAAGGGCCCCGGGAAAGTGGCGCCCTGGGTTGATGCGGATGCTCCTGTACGGGCCTCAATTCCTGCTCTGAGAAGCCCAGCAACGCAGAAACACTCGGTTTTGTCCCCACAAAAGCATGCCAAGGCAGCTACGGGGTTCCCTCAAATAAATTCTGATGTAAAAACAAAACAAAAGACAGGCTGGTGGCCATTCTCAGAAGCGACCACGCTCCTCCACGCCTGGAAAGCTGATTTTCAGAGGCCAAAGATTAGACAAAAGGCACGAGCTGGCGACGCACAAGCATGGAAATGATTTTTTCTAAGTGATCTGGGCCTCCCGGTTCCAATCCTTTCTCCTCTCACCCTGATTCCTAGGCCGCTCAGCAAATCCCTAGGGGTCTGGAAAAGACCTCGGAGAGGGACTGGGCAGGGGACCCCGAAACTTTCCCAAACTGTAACAGGCGGGTGGAGGGCGGCAGCCACGGACTCCAAGTCCCAGGGCACAGGGGGCACCGGGGCGGCGGCCGCCCGGTCCCTGCCACAACAAAAGAGCCATGCGCCGCTTGGCGCCGGTGCAGGGACGCGGCCGGGGCTGGACGCGGGGTGCGGGAGCCCCGGAAACCAAGCCGCGCGTAGCGCCGCGGCGCAGAGGGTAGGACCTTGGCGCACCCCGCCGCGCCCTGCCGCCCCCCGAGCCTCGCCTGCCCGCTCGGAGCGCCGCGGGCTGCAGGCCGGGGCTGCGCAGGCCCCGCGACACAAAGCTCCCGCCGCCGCCGCCCACCGACCTTGGGCGCCTCCGGGCCCCGGCTCCCGCAGCGTCTTGGTCACCGCCTTCCAGACATGGCAGCCCAGCAAGCAGAGCAGCAGCGCCGCGGACCTGCTCATCTCCGCGCCC